GCCTATTGCCAGCATCAGATGAGACTTTCCCCCTGCCCCCTTCAAGGACCTCATATCACATTTACCATCCCCGCAAAAGGCCCAGGATGCTTTTTTTACCCTCCCCATTCTGTATTTAATATGTACCTAAAGAACTTTGTGTCCTCTGGAATGGGGGGAGCAGGGAGGGTATAAGAAGAAGGGCTGAAACGCTGTGGAGAGAGAGATGGGAAGGGGAGGTGAGAGAAGGGGTCTATGTTGCTAATTGCAGCAATAATATGTTTCATGCTTATGTCTATGTTTGATGTTTTTATTGTTTTAAAGATTTTAATCTACAGTTATATGATATTGATTTAGATATGTGATATTTTAACTATATGTGAAGCACTGAAATTGCAATTTATTATGGTGTAAACCACTTTGAGTCCCCCCAGGGGTGAGAAAAGTAGTATAGAAATGTAAATAATAATAATAATAGTAATAATAATAATAATAATAATAATAATAATAAGAAGAAGAAGACAACTTAGATTACAGGGTCAGTGGGCGGGGTCAAGGGTAGTCTCCGAGAAAAGACACTTCATTCATTGTAAGATGTTTTGACTAGGGACCTTATCACATGCAGCTTTACCAGCGTTCAAATTTGGCAACCTCTGTGGTGAATCACGGTGGCATGGGGGCAGCAGTGGGGAAATCCCAGCACCCCAGTCAGCAGCTGACACTTCCCTATCCCACATGAAATGCAGCACACACCAAGAAAATTGTCAGAACTCTCTGAAGCACCAAATTGATATCTCATGTAAAGTGAGACATTTCATATGGCTCCTTGTAGAGAAATTATTAGCCCTCTCAGTTGTGTGTGTGTGTATGTGTGATGAGAGAGAGAGGTTTTCCTGATCCTAGGAATATAGAAAGAGCCATACTGTGTCACACATAAGGCTGAGAGATATAAATTTTTCATATAAGCAAATCCAGAATTTTCACATTTTCTTATTCATCTACAAAATGATACAGCAAGATCTCACATACTGTGCTAGTCATGTAAGCTATGTATGGATATCTGAAATCTAAAGACAAGATTTCATATTTTTGTGTGTCATGATAATCCAGGAGGAAACCTACCAGTATGTATGTTACATATCCCATGTAGACCATTATCCACAGAAATGTTTTTCAGCAGTCTCACCTGAATGTTTTTCAGGTGAGAGTGCTACATGACAGCTGTTCAGCTGTGGAACTCTCTGCCTCAGAATGTGGGGGAAGCTCCTTCCTTTGAAGTTTTTAAACAGAGACTGCATGGCTATCTGTCAGGAGTACTCTGATTGTGCTTTTTCTGCATGACAGGGGATTGGACTAGATTTTTTTTGTCGTGACAGGAGTGACTCCTGGTGTGAGAGAATTGGCCATCTGCAAGGACGTTGCCCAGGGGATGCCTGGATGATTTAATGTTTTTATCATCCTTGTGGGAGGCTTCTCTCATGTCCCCACATGAGGAGCTGGAGCTGATAGAGGGAGCTCATCCGCCTCTCCCTGGATTCGAACCACTGTACGGCTCATGTGGTGTCTTCCAACTATGATTCTATGATAAGAATGCTATCTCAGAGAAGAGATCAAAAATGTCTGTACTCCGAACTCTTTCCATCTGCATGAAAACCAGGGGTAATCCATGAGGGATAACACTCCAAATAGTCAGTGGGAAACTGCTTGTATGTTGATGACATGAACAAGTGAGCTGAGGAACAGTAGTATCAAACAAATTGTTTTCACTCCTTATTGTTAGTTTTCTAATTCCCAGGGTGAATCACAAGCTAGAAAAAGGAGAACACAGCAAATGACTGAATGTGAATTTATGAATCATATCTTAAGAAGTACTAGTTCTAAAACCAATGGAACAATGATACACTTGTATTCACATTCTGTAGAAGTAAATGCTATACTGATTGCCCAAATATAATTATTCAAAATAAGTCTCATTCTTAATAGTTCAGAAGTTCCAAAAAATCAAAATGTTCTCCCTTAGTGAAGGGTCTTGATAAATATTTGATAATTTAATTATATCTGAGATTATTTGTTACAGTGGAGATTAAAGCCTAAACAGCTGGAATTGCATTTAAGGCTAGAATGTTAAATTACCAAGGTTAAGCATTTGCTCTCTAGTATATCATTTGAGATAAATTTCACCAAAATATCCACATTATGTAAGGACAGTCAACACAGCTATACAGGTAATTTACAAACCAAAGATGCTTAACATGGCCTTATGTTAAGCCAAGTTGCAGGTTGGTCTAAATTCTTCAGCAGCATCTGGAGTAAACCACAACTTTGGGCCAATGTAAACAGAACCAGTTCCTTGAGCTCAAGCATCCCAGGGTTACAGGATGGCACTCACCATCCCTTCCCATTCTTGTTGTGGCATTGGCTGTTTCAGTAATTGTTGCCTGAAATGATGAGGGATTTGGTGAAAGAAGGGGGAGAGGAGCCATGATTCCTCTTTTTCCTTTTCTGCTTCCATGTCACTCTGGTATCTCAGCCAACACAATCCATGTTGCAATCACTGGCAGCTGTGAGGAAGACAGTGGAAGGGGATTGTTGTCCGGTGGTCATGAACTCAGTTCGGCACCATTGGACAGTCAGGACTCCTGCCCACCTTCACAGTAGCTGGGTGGTGGAGGCATCTAAACCAGGGCAAATCTGGCTTCATTGCTCTGGATTGATCCTAGCATATGTGGTCCATGTATAACTGCTTACAGTCTCGGAACAAGGAGAAGTAATGCACACACTTGTAGAGATATGTTCTGAAGATGTCTCATGACAGAAGTATATGAGATGATCTCAGTGGGATGTGAGATAGATAGATTACAATTGACAGATAATAAATAAATAGATATATACATAGATAGATGTTAGATAAATGGCCGAGAAATAATGTTTTTAGTAAAAGGAAGGGTTATTTTTAATCATTTCTTCAGACATTTGCACACTAGCAAGCACATTTTGGTTAGGATACAGCAATTGCTTACTTTCACTGATAGAAATCTATTAAGCATAATAGACTTTCATTTATCTAGTTCCAAAAGCAGGTTGCATAAAGCCTTTGTTTCATAAAATCCTAATTGTAAGTTGAGTTTTGTTTTACTGTATTTATTACTCCACCTCTTTGATGCTTTAAGTAAATTGACTTTATTGTGGTTAAGACACATGAACTCAAGTTCTTTACTGATATTTTGAGCATACATACAACATTTTGCTGAATTCAGAAATGGTGCTATGTGATTTATTTATTTATTTTGGAACAGTGGTTCAGTCATATTTTAAAGCTTGAATTATGTAGTAGAAGAACCAAATTGTTTCATTTTTGTTCTTTTGTAGATGGATATATTGAACAAACTGGGAAGAAGATCAAATAGATGATAGTATTTTGAGGGTTTCAGGTCAAACTTAAAGCAGAGTTAGGAATAGAGGAACAATTTTCCACCTTTATTTTCTATGCCCCAAATTGCCTCAGGTTTTCTACCCCATACTGTTTCAAATACATATTTTTCTTTGCTCACTTATATTTTGCAGATACAATATGACATGTAGGGGTGGGGGTTTGCAATTGAAAATAATTGGGAAGCAAAGAGTTGAACATCTCTTCTCTCTGCTTTTCACATTTGTTTTCCCTCTTCCCATGATACTTTGGCATGGTAGCATAGCAACTGTTACAGACATTAGCATATGACATGGATGTGTCCTGGTTTGACAGTATCACTTAGGTTTAAATTTCCAAAAATGTTATTGCTTATTTGAAAGCAATGGCGGCTCTTATAACAAATGAAGAAATGTATACTTTAATTGAAGATTTTTGCATTATCAAGCAACCAAAATAGAAGGATGGCTACTGATGCCAAACATTAATTTGTGAACCAAATCTAAGCAGATATTCTAATGTTACACTTAGGGATGTATTGCGTTCACTACATGTCTATCATTTAAGATAGCCAGTAATTTATTCATCACTTCAAAACAAGAAATAAGCAACACAGAGAATTTGAATTGTATATAGAGTTGCAAAGTTACTTTTAAAAAAAGGAAAAATGGGGTTTCTTCAAACTGTTTTCATTAGAAGGCTACATTAAAATTCCCCAATTGCACAATTTCCAGCTTTGTGATAAAGTGGATCCACCAGCTCTTAGAAACACATTAAAACATATTCCAAAATTATATTAAAATACTCATTAGTTTGTAATGGTTCATTAACAGAGGTCTGATGTTTCATATCAAACAATTGATTTTTAATCACATAATTCAGTGTATTGTCTGTGCTTAAGTAGCACTCAAGTCATATAGAAGAATTGACTCTCCTCCCCATGTTACTTATGACTTCATCACACACAATAAAATCAGTGTTTCTACGCATTTAAGAATTGGCATCCCATGGAGCCCATCACATGACAAAAACCTCATTGGCTATTGACTTATTTTTCAATTCCCCGCATAGAGACATCATCATGGAGAAAGGAGATAAGATGGGTAATATAGAATCCTTTCTTCCACCCTTACTTTTACATTGGAAGAGGTAATTTATATCTTTTTTAAACAATGGCTGCTGCTCCTTCAGTCAGTGTGGCTCCCACTAAAATAAGTGTTAAGTGCCTTAACTCAGCTTCATTGGAAGGGCATTGAGGGCAAACGAGCCCAGAAAAGTGGTGCCTTAAGACTGATGCCTTAACTCTGCAGTAGTTGATGAATTTTGAGGGGAAACGATGGGGAGGAAGCAAAAGTTTCCCGTGCGATGGTAAATCAAACAGATACATTTTAAAGATGGCAGAGAAAAGGATTAGGTATGATGGTGTAGGAAAATCTTGCATTTAATTTCAAAACGGGGTGTGGCAAAGTTTAAGGAAAAACCAACAAAAGTCCCTATTTATTCCTTTTTAGTAAGAAGACACTAGAAATGTCATTGTTTGTGTAAATAAGCATTTTAAGGCTTCAATTATGTAGTACAAAAATAAATAAATGGTTTTATTTGTTTTTTGTAGATTGATGTATTGGACAGACTGGGAAGAAGATCAAATAGATGATAGTGTGGGAAGAATTGAAAAAGCATGGATGAATGGCTACAATCGACAAATTTTTGTGACATCAAAGATGTTGTGGCCAAATGGATTAACACTGGACTATCAAAACAATATATTATATTGGTGTGATGCCTATTATGATCATATAGAAAAAATATTTTTGAATGGAACTGACAGAAAGGTAATTATTTTTTTCAATGATGCTCACATTTTTACCTCTGACTGAATCAGATTTCTACTTTTAAACCCTCTTTCCATATTTCCTTTTTAAGCTGTCTTGTTCATTAGATATTTGACTTAAGAAGCACTAAAATATCTTAGTGGTCACTCCGCTGTGGTCCAGAATTCATTTGTTTACATCATAGGATAACTCAGGATGGAAATCTTTACATATTTTGTTCTTGTGTGCAATATTTTTTTTTTTAAAAAAAAATCCATTTTTCTAGCTGCTGGGAAAGATCATGATGATTGCCACTGACTTTTCTTTGTCTGCTTTTTTCATATTTCCATACTTGGGGGGGGGTATTTTTGAGAGCAAAAGGTAATAGTGTGTGCAAAAATCTGTTTTGTTCTTTGCTGATGATGATTGAAAATATTCATTTTTGGTGTGGTACAGGGATTAAAAATGTGGTATTTGGTATTTGTCTCCTCCCAACCCCCCGGAGTAATTTGAATGAGAATCTTATTGTTGAGGACAAGAACATTTTAAAATATTTCTTTTTATATTCCTAGTAATAACACGAAGAACCATTAATTTGAATCATAAGCTTGAGTATTTCTAGTACAACTTGGTTCCAAGAGTGTATAAGGATTATAGCTTGAGCTTTCTAATGGTCCTGAGTAATCAGTGAATTGATTTGTGTATAGCATAATAGTTACACTAGGTTTACACAAAACTAACCTCAGGACTTAAGTCCAATTGTTTCAATTATAATAGATCTATCAAATCAATCTATATAAGTGCTGGTTCACAGAGTTTCCATTGATCACTGAGTTATTCCAAGTGGAAGTTACAGTTGGATCTAGGCCAATAGCTACTTTTGCAGATATGAGTCACAAACTGGTGTGTGCGCACTGTACTGGAGTAAAATAGTTGTGCACATGCTTTGGCTTCTTTAGGGACTGCATCAGTTCCTTATATATTACACTGAATGCAAATCGTCTTTACTTATATTATTGACTTGGTGAATGAGCAACTGAGGACAACATAGATTTTTACAATGGTTTCAGTTAAAAATATTGATTTTTTTCTCAATCATAAACTGCGCTAGGATTTTATAGAAGTGGTTACTGTAGTGTCATCATCAGATGGCTCAATATTGAGAAAAATGGCTGAGGACTTGTACTGTTAAAGAAAAGATATCAGAGAACAGAGTAATTATCTTAACTAAATCTCTAGTAAGATTAAATCAACAGAACAGGGAAGAGAGTTTTTTCTCCCTATATTTTGGATTTTTCATATTAAAACAAACACTGTGATGATTTGTCATCCTTTGGTCAAATTCCCTCCAGTTTCTGAATTATTTGGGAGCAGGGATTAATTTGTGTGTGTGGGGGGTGGGGGGGGGGAATCTTGCAGATGCACGTAGAATTTCCCCAATCCTCCCCTTTATATTCAAGTAGAATCCTTACTTTTTAGAGCTCTGGCAGATAAGTAAAGATACTATTTTTGCAGTAACTGGAAACTTTGTTTAATCATCCTGTCTGCCATTGGAAGGAAAAATATGAAATCTCCTATGACCCTTTGGTCTTCTGCCCAAAACCATATCATTGTAGCTTAAATAAACTTGAATGATTTCTTTCACAAAGTCATGCAACTTTCACAATACCACCACAGGTATGTATAGAAATGAGAAAGAATATGGGATTGTCCAAGAATATTGGATTGTCTAAGAATCATTTGCATCATTTTTTTCTGGGAATGTTATGTCTTTGTACTTCAAGGTTTGAAACTATATTGCTTTACATATGGACAGATATTCTCACCATTCTCCTACCCTCTTTTAATTAATGGTTCAATCTGAAGACTTGTTGTTATTCAATACTATGATAGCACCCATTGAATCGTATCGTACATGAGTATAAATTTTTCAGTATACCATTGGTTCAATGTCTCTGCTTTAGTTGCAGCAAATTGGATTTGGTTTAAAGTGTTTAATGATGTATGAATTTTCAGCAACAATTTAACTAATGTCAATTAATTGCAGGTGGTCTACAGTGGAAAAGAACTGAACCATCCATTTGGACTGTCACACTACAAGAATTATATTTTTTGGACAGATTATATAAATGGCTCTATTTTCCAACTGGATTTGATAGCTAGTAATGTCACACTTCTAAGAAGTGAGAGATCACCTCTGTTTGGGCTGCAGATTTATGATTCCCAGAAGCAGCAAGGTATTGGAAAGTGTATTTTCTGCATTCATACCAAGTATTGTTTAACATTAGTTACAGAAAGGATTTTTTTACATTGCCTCCACCTTTGCAAGGAGCCTACTGTGTAAGTGCCAGTACAAAACAGATAAAGAACCAAAGTATCAAATCAAAGAAGCTATGAAGTAAATGTAGAAAAAGCTGCTCATTTGAATTGAAATAATATGCTTTCAGTGGGCATAAATTGCAACTGACATRCAGGATTAATGCACATGTGAGGTAAAAAAAAACATGCTGCTATTAGAAAAACATAGACATTAATTTAAGATTATATATATATATATATATATATATATATATATATATATATATATTCCTCTGGGCCAATAAAATATTATTGGGTGGTGTAGGATTCACGTAACAGTTATACATTTAGGCTTTCTCCATTTGTAATTATTTGTTTGTTAAAAGGCGTGATGAAGTTATTTTCAGTTTCCTTTGATAAGCTTTTTTTATGTGTTTTAAGTTGTAGATATGGGCAATTCACTAGGTAACGGTGTGTTGTGACATATAAATCTTTTGCTTTTTTAAAAGAACAGTGAAATTTTTGAAATTACATTTTAATCTCGATTTGGAAATGAAAAAACTGTAAACAAATAATATCTTTATAACATCATTTAGTTCTTCTGTTTTGGCAAGATAGGTGCTTATCTTGGTGCTTTCCCCTGCTTTGACGTATGTAAATAATATTGTAATAATCTCTCATTCTGCACAATACTTCCTTTTTTAAAATCTAGATGAGAGTGTTTATGTTTAAACTAAAACAAACACATAAAAGTGTACTGTAATGTCCATCTTTAAATAAGTGGAGAACTACCACACATATGACAGAATGTATTTGTAATCACAACATTTAAAAAAATGATATATTGGAAGAATTTCCTAGCAGTATGAGATAATTGGTGGTAAAACATGGTGCTTAGAAAATCATAAATACTACAACACTCTTTGAGTAAATACAAAACCAAATAATAAAATATTACATCAAAGAATGTCAACTACCAGAATTAACCAAAGAGAAAAACAAAAAATAAATGTACCAATAACCATGGAGTAAATCACAAAAGCTATAGCAAAATCAAAACTTAATAAAACTCTAGCACCAGATGGCTTCTCCACATTATAGGAAATTTGAAAAGGAACTTAAAGAACCTGTGCAGGATTTATTCAACAGAATACTAAATATGAACAAGATACCTGGGGAAGTGCAACAGTTACCTTGATTCCTAAAGAAGGCCAAGACCTGTCAAAGCCACAGAATTAAGGACACATCTCATTACTAAATAATGACTTTCAGCACAACCTTAGCAGAAAAACTAAAAAAAAAGACTTAAGTAAATTCTTACATCAAGATCAAGCAAGAGTTCTACTAAAAAGACAAGTTTGTGACAACTTGAGAACAGTCCTGGATATAACAGAGGTTTTAGAAAAACAAAATGAAAAAGGTAGCCCTGACATTTCTAGGTGCAGAAATAGCATTTGATAATGTAAACTGGGAAATTATATTTGCAATATTAGAAGAGATGGATTTTGGTGACAATTGTACAACATGGATAAAAGCAATATATTAAAATATTATATATATATATATATATATATATATATATATATATATATATATATAAACCCATTAGGCAAAAATATGGATAAATGGAGAAAAAACAAAGGCACAAGGCAAGACTTTCCACTATCACTCCTACTTTTTTATATTAGTATTCAAAGTACTCTTTTAGAAAACAATAGAAGGTTAAAAATCAAGAGTGAAACCTATAAATTGAGAATATTCACTGATGACTTACTAATCATTATTGAAGATCCAATAGAAAATATCATAGACGTATTGGCAACATTGGAAGAATTTGGTAAAAGTAGCAAGTCTTAAATAAAATAAAATATCGAGATAATTTTATCAAACGAGAACACAACTCTCTTTCAAGATAGCTTTAAAAAGTCTTTGAAAGAAATAAAATCTGATCTTCATAAATGCAGTAAACTTAAATTACCACTCTTGAAAATAATAGCAGCTGTACTTATTTCAGAACATCCCAGTCATAACCAAAGATCAGCCATTCCAAATGTGGAATAAAGTTTATATGGTAAGGAAGAAATCCTAGAATTATATCCCAACTCCTCCAGAATGATAGACAACAAGTTGGCCTATAATTAGACCTCAAAATATGTTTCTCAGCATGTGTTTTAGCCTGGCTTATAGATTGGATGGCATTAAACACTGAGACTTTTTAAACTGGAATGACATGACCTGAGATTCTTTTTCACAGAATATGAAAAAAATACATTCAGGATTCAGAAATCTTTTTATCAGATGAGCAATTCTGAAAATCTGGAACAAATATAAATTCAAACTATTCCCCAAAACTCCACTTTCAATATCACCAGAAGAAGCATTTTTAGATTAGATGATCATGATGATGATTATTTTAATTAATTCATTAATTAATTAATTTTTATTCTACTCTATCTCCCCGGAGGGACTCGGGGTGGATTTCAAACCTCAAAAGCCAACATTCAGTGCCAGAACACAATGAAATAGTAATGAAATCTGGCAACCCAACATAGATAAAAGAAAGAAAAAAATTGATATCATATAGAAATCTTGTAATAACTGCTGACCTTTCTGGCGGATGGTGATGAATTTATGATTCTTTTGGACGGACTGATTTTTGCTGTAATTTGTATGAATTGTATTAAGTGTATTTTAATGTATTTTTATATTGATGACTTATAATGTTTTTCTTATTGTATTGAATTTTATGTTGTTAAGCCGGCCTGAGTCCCTCCCCGGAGGTGAGAAGACCGGGGTATAAAAACTCTAAATAAATAAATAAATAAATAATATGGAAATAAGATCGATATTTAATCAAAACACAATGTGTAGCTGCACCCTTGGACAATTCAAACATTCTCAGCCTCAGTGGATGCAAAGGCACACTTCTTCTGCTAAAACTTCCCCATAATGGGAGAATGACAGTGTAAACTAAAGTAAAATATTTATTTTGAAAGATACAAACACCTGAATTGTGCATCACTACCCATAAAGTCATCCCAATGTGGAGAGTTTTTGACAGTTGCTGCTGAAGTATTTATGTGAATGAGCACAATGGGTCAATTTATGATGGTGAGATCTTTTGTAGAAAATTCTCCATAACCTTTCCTGTCATGTATTTCTCATAGGTTGCTACAGTTTGATTTGTTTGTTACACAGAACAGAAGTTTTTTCAGTATTGGAATTGTGTCCTTTTTTCTCTCAAGATCCCTCCCTGTGCCTGATACTCAGGCCTCAAAAAGGCAGGTGGCTGTGTTGATCAGTGTTTTCAATGTAGTAGACCTGGGATTGCTATCAAATTAATGCAGTTTGACACCACGTTTAGTGCCCTGGCATAATGCTATGGTATTATGGGAGTTTGGTGGGGCTCCTGTACTCTTGACAAAGAAGGCTACAAACCCTGTAAAATTACAACTCCCATCGTTACATAGCATTGAGGCACAGCAGTTTAAATCATGTCAGACTGTATTAATTGCACAGTGGAGATGCACCCTAGCTTATACTCCCCCCCCCCGCCCATAGGCACTCTGTGATTGGTTGGCTACAGTCAACCTTGCCACTTTTATTTATTCATAGGGTCTAACTTTAATATCATGGATTTCAATATTACTCATTGGTAATCTACTGTGTGGAATTAGTGCAGTTCGGCGCCACTTTATTTTTATTTATTTATTTATTTACAGTATTTATATTCTGCCCTTCTCACCCCACAGGGGGCTCAGGGCGGATTACAATGTACACATATATGGCAAACATTCAATGCCAAGACACACAACATAGACAAGACAGTCAGAGGCTATTTAACTTTTTCTGGCCGTCAGGGGGAGCTGTCACTTTCATCGTCCATCTGTGACACTGATGAAGTACTTCTGCATTCACCACATGCTTTTGCTGGAGTCTTTTTATGGCCTCGTAAATTTTGTTAAATTAGCCTCCCCACACATAGGTGGTACCTAAATTTCCTACTTGACAGATGCAACTGTCTTTCGGGTTGCAAAGGTCAACAACAAGCTACACAATTGGTCGGATGCTCACTCTGACCTAGGCTGGCTTCGAACTCACGACATTTCATTAGTGAAACAAGACTAGAGAAGAGATTTCACCTCAACATTATGGGGACTGTCTTTATTTTAAAAGCATTGAACAGTGGAATAGACTTCGTCAGGGTGGTGGGTTCTACTTCTTTGGAGATAGGATAGGCATCATTTAGGAGTATTATAATTGTGCATTCCTGCTTGGAAGGGGTTGGACTAAATGGCCTTTGTGATGCTTTTGTGATGCTTTTCAACTGTAAGATTTTAAAAATGAAACAGTTGTACAACACCATCAGTTCCCATAAAGCAGCCACGGGAGACTTTATTATCATGTCCCCATAATGCTTCTGGACCCCGCTGTAGTAGACTGGACGTCACTGTTCACTCCCATATGTTCTCAGTACTTTCATTGGGTACCCACCAGGAAGGGAATGGAGAGTGGGAGGGAAATTTATTATTTATTATTTATTTATTAATAGGAAAGAATACATTATCTACCTTTCTCAGAGTCATTCTGTCCTGTCCAGGACCCTGTAAATCAGGGGTCCTCAAACTTTGTAAACAGAGGGCCAGGTCACAGTCCCTCAAAATGTTGGAGGGCCAGATTATAATTTGAAAAAAACATGAATGAATTCCTATGCGCACTGCACATATCTTATTTGTAGTGTAAAAAACACTTTAAAAATACAATAATTAAAATGAAGAACAATTTTAACAAATATAAAGTTATTAGTATTTCAGTGGGAATTGTGGGCCTGCTTTTGGCTGATGAGATAGGGTTGTTGTTGTTGTTGTTGTTGTTGTTGTGTGCTTTCAAGTCATTTCAGACTTAGGTTGACCCTGAGCGAGGGCCGGGTAAATGACCTTGGAGGGCCGTATCCGGCCCTCGGGCCATAGTTTGAGGACCCCTGCTGTAAATAATTGACATAATCCAGGTTTCTGATTATACTGTCATTCAAGATGGCAGAAAGAGTTTGTAGTTGGAGGAGTGCAGAAACAAAACCTGGAAATAAAAAATTCTAGGCAAGAATGAGACATGATGAATGTGAGCAAGTGCAGTTGCGTACACTTCTGGTTCCTAGTAAATTAATGCTAATAAAAGTTTTAAGTGAAAGTCTTTACCAAAAAGAAACTATAAGTTAACTGTTGGTTTCTGTGCCAACACAGGTCCAGCATGAATTCCTGATCTGATAGCACTGTTAGTTTCTTTATTGTATACCCATAGGGCTAACTGCTCCACTTTATAAAATAACATTTCAGGGTTGTTTCGAAACTATCGCAAAGGCCATTCTGCCAACCTTAATAAATGTGTTTCATGTTTTACTAGAAGAAAATGCCAAGGTGCTTGCTATATTTCTTCGGACTAAATCCAGAGCAAAATCACTACCCCACAGATGTGAAAATTTAATTTGTGTCCTCCAAAATCTCTTCTTATGTAGCTTCTAATGTTTGTTGCCAGGATCCAATTAGATTCATTCTATTGATAGCACTCCCTACTGTGGTATCCACTCAGAGGTTGCTTTAGATAGACAAAGAGTGATTAACATATTTCAATTTATTTTGTGCTGGAAGACAATTACTAGAACAATGTTGAAATTAGGCCTGAAAGGCCATGTGATAATCCTAAATCAGCATGGAAGAAATGCATCCCTACCTTTAAGAAAGACACTGAATTCCATTCTTGGGGAGAAAAGTGACTATAAGAAAGACACTGAATTCTATTCTTGGGGAGAAAAGTGACTATAAATCCAATAAATTAATTAACAGACACCTCTTGTTGAAAGGAAGACTCTAAATTAGACTTTATTGGCATGTGGCTTGAAAGCTAAATAATAAATAATTTATAAATTTTGAAAGCCTCTCTAACTTTTGGTTTGGAATTAATTGGAAAGTTTAAAAGTGATGAGATTGTTTCAATTCGACAAGTGGTTCTCAATCTGTGGGTCCCCATATGTTTAGGTCTACAACTCCCAGAAATCCCAGCCAGTTTACCATTAGGATTTCTGGGAGTTGAAGGCCAAAACATTTGGGTTCCCACAGGTTGAGAACCACTGAATTAGACCAACTATCCTGTTAAACATATTAAAACTTCAAACTTTTTTTTGAAACTTTTGAAAAAAAAATACTGTGAAGGATATTCTAGATGATAAAAAATGTGTAGTGGCTATTTAGCAAAATCCAAAATACACATTACAAATAAACTAAATTTGCCCTTAGGTTTTTTTTAAGTGCAATTCAGATATGACCAAAGTGTGTGAAATGTGTTTTTGAAAAAAAACAAAGTGGTAGTCATGTTCAAACATTCCATAATATAGAAACCTTTTGCGATAGAAATTTCACCTCTGAAATTTCTACAATCACAATTCAATAGTAAGGTTAGTGGAGTATAATTTGTGTAATGTCTATTAACACTGTCTTCATATTTTTGCATTTTTTCTTTGTTTCTGTTTTAAATTGCTCATAACCAGTTGCACAGACATGCGATTAGTCTGTGTAATTTTGCATTATCTATACGAACGTCCTCCTACTTACCTATTACTCAGTCAAAATATGAATCCCAAACTCTCTAATTCACATTCAACATTATGTCGTATAGTGATACAAGAATGAAAATAGGCCGACAGTACAGAAGAAAGAATAGTTGGACTCAGTTTTAAGTGACGCTTCCAATGTATTTGTTCTATTTGAATGCAGGGTGGTCATGAATGTTTATGAGAAAAATGTGAGTCCCTTAAGTTAGCCACCCGAAGGCATGAGGACTAGGGGCCCTTCCACACAGCCCTATATTCCCAAATATCAAGACAGGAAATCCCACATTATCTGAGTGTGGACTCAGATAACCCAGTTAAAAGCAGATATTGTGGGATTTTCTGCCTTGATATTCTGAGATATAGGGCTGTGTGGAAAGTCCCTAGATCCCTTGCTTGACTCTTTTTGTGGGTTTTCATTGAAACTTTTTAAAATTTTAAATAACTTTGTAAACTTAATTATGTAACAGCAAAATGAATCATGACAAATCACTCTGATCAGGATAAAGAAAGAAGGAATGCATCGGTGAATGGATGGAGAGAAAGGGCCCTTCCACACAGCCCTATATCCCAGAATATCGAGGCAGGAAATCCCACAATATCTGCTTTGAACTGGGTTAACTGCGACCACACTCAGATAATGTGGAATTTTCTGCCTTGATATTCTGGGATATAGTGCTGTGATAGACAGATTTTACTAATCCCTATGTATTTTAAAAGAAGAAGCAAGGCCATGCCTGAATTATCTCATGTTATCACTGTTGCACCAGTAAAGAAAAAAAAAGCATTGACCTGAGTAGTGTCTTAACTAAATAAAGCCACTATTCTACACGTTTTCAATATTCTATTCTTGCAACATGTTCCTTGAGCTATTTATTCTTAATGTTGTCTTTTGTTTTAATTGCAGGTGACAACGCATGCCGTGTTAATAATGGAGGCTGCAGCACTCTCTGCTTAGCTGTACCTGGAGGCAGAGTGTGTGCTTGTGCTGATAATCAGCTCTTGGATGAGAACAGTACAACCTGCATGAGTATGTTCTTCTGAAAGAGTGTTTGTGCATTTATTAATGTTGTAGAAAAGATACATTCAAAATAATGTCTAATAGACCATTCTCCATGTATTCCATCATGAGCAATATTGTACTGAACACAGTATTTGAATTATTGAAAGCTTCACCTGTCCTAACCACTTAGGATTGTGAAAGGTGTTTGAGATTATATGAGATGGATAAAACCTGTTCGTGAAATTTGAAAAAAAAATGCAGCTTCTTTTAAAAAATGAGTGTACATTTTGAAATTATAAAAGGTACAGCAACATTTTGTCCAGGCTGCCAGGCTCTTTTAAAGTGTTCTTAATTCAGTTACATTATTCATGAAAAACGCTCCTACGTGCTTATGAAATGGAAGTAAAATAAAATTCCTGCTTTTCACTTTGAGTACGAGGCGTAGCACAGCACACAAAATGGTGCAGGGGAGTAAGCCTGCATACAGGCTTGAACATAATTGGCTTTTAAGCTAGATGATGGATTGAGGCAGCAAACTGATTTCTTTGTCTTCTGCACCCCCATCATTTCTGATGTCCTAAACCTTATTGAACAAACTCAACAATTCTATTATGTGCAACTGCACAATCAATAAGAAATGTGTACTTAGGAAGTCCATACCTTATTCATTTTAGAACCTAGCAGCTATCTATGCAGGCCATATGTGCCAGTGCTGATCCAGGTGGGCTACTCCAGATCAGTGCCATGGAGTCTACACAGTGAGCTGCCAAGCCAGTTCAGTGGCTGATCAATGTCTGCATTGCATGGCAGCAAGCATGTTCGGTTGGATACTTCTGGACTCCAACCTTTACTTTCCCCATCACATTAGGGACAACCCAAGAAAAAGGTGCATGTTCTGATTTATCATCCTCCGAGGAGGAGATGGGTGTTTGTTTTCACAGTTCTGATGAAAAAACTTTTTTAGAAACATAATAAGCGAGATTCAGGTGAGCAACTGAATAATTAAAAATACTATACATATATTGAATATTTTCTCATATTGGTCACACAGGAAATTCCACATGAAAGTATTATGGATTTATAAAAGTTAGCAAAATCCCATATGTGTAATATAGGGGTGTGGTGTAGAACCTTATACGGACAACTGATAACTACAATTCTGTTATACATCTTTCTTCTTAGTTATGTCTGGAGAAGTTTTACCCAAATTATGCAAAGTGGGAGAGTTTCAGTGTCAGAATAGACGCTGCATCCAAGACCGTTGGCGTTGTGATGGTGATGATGACTGTCTGGATGGATCAGATGAACATTCGGAGCTTTGCTGTATGTATCTAAACAATGTAGTCCATGTTTTAAACAATATGCATAGTCCTACATTCATGCATAGTTCTACAAGTGCAGATCTGTGTGCTCTCAATGCTTCACATCTGCCAAGATCCTTCAGAGGTTCCTACTGCTCTCACTTACCTGTAAAGTAGAGAAGGAAGGGGAAGTGATTCAAACCATGGTCTTCATTTGTTTATAGGGGAAGAAAAAAGGATGCACCCTCAAAGGTAGTGCACATGCCTTTTCTTTTCCCCAGGACCAAAGGAGTTGGATTTTCAAAGTATGACTCTCTTTCACCTCCCTTCCTTCTCCGTTGGTAAGTGATAGAAGAAGTTCTTCCTTGCAGGGCTTAACAGCTGCTGATAGAAGGATTTTAAGTGATTAGCTCTCTGCGTGTCATATGAGGATCTATGCACAGGTAAGTCATTAACTAATTTAATTTATGCACACAGAAGTCGTTAACAGGAAAATGGTAAATGTTTTCTATGAGAATTTTAATATATTCATAAATGCAAGTGTCTGGGGGAATTAAAAGAGCTGCTGTTGCCTAGTCATTGGTATAAATTATCCATTTTATCTTAAGTCTACAGTTGTGGGGAGAGGGAAAAGATTGGTTGTCTAGCACACACATCTTCACCATATCACTGATCAGCTTAATGATCCTCATATTCCAATGTGGCTGGTTTTTCTTCCTCTGATGCTAATGCCCTTTGCCCATGCATTTGGTGGCTGGTCCAAGAGACAAACTCTGCTTGCAAATAAGGAAAAATCAATTTGAATACCCTGAAGACAGAATTATTGTGCAGAAGGTTGCTAAACACTTCATTGCTTCTTGGCAGTGGCATCTTGAAGAGTGTCCAAGAAAGCAGACAGAAATTTGGAACAGGACACTGTACAGCCTTTGCTAGCTTAATATATGGTTAAAGGGGACACATGGGAACTGCAGAATAACCCAGTGTGAACTTACTCAAATTTGCTGCAACCTTATTACTTGGGAAAAAAATAGGGTCATACAAAGTATGTGTGCCTAAAGGTGATGGCAGTGATAGAAACTAACAAATTAGAATCATTTAAGGTAGAAATTAAATAAGACATTTTCTAACAAAAAGTATTTATTGTTAATTTATTGCTTAAATTAATTTACAATTTTAAAATTAAGTACATTCTACAATTAAGTTGTTAATTAAGTCTTCAATTAATTAAATAAGAAACTGTGCTGAAAAGCCAGTAGAAATCACATTTTTAGCTTGTTCGTTATTGAAAATCTAGTTCTTTTGAAAAAAGCTTTGTGTGAAGAGAATCTGGAGAAAATGCTGCCAAATATAGGTAGAGGTCAATTCTTGTGATACTATAAAGAAGGACTAAAGGAGAAAGACTATAAAAAGACAGGCTTAACTGTCTTGTCATGTAAGGGATAAAATGAAGATAGGATTAGTGACAGAGTCAGGAATGAGCTGGAAATAAGGTTAATTGGGATGGGATGGAGGACATTGGAATAGACAGGTCACAATTAGATACAATATCAGGACAGTTGTGGGGTTAGATAGATGAGATGAGAGAGGTAGTAGATTCAAATCAGTTGAGAACTAGTCTGAAGTAACTGGTTGAGTAGTGTCTGAGAAAATAATAAAAATGGTTTTTAAATTATTTCTTATGTTGAAATAGGGATGGACCAAATTTATATTATTGATGTTGAAACCTTTTATTACTCAAAAAAACATTTGTCATGGTTGTTTACATCTTTATCTGAGTTACCCAATATTTTTTTTAAAGGAGGAAATTTGTCACATAGTTGTAACATTATACACATTTGCTTATGTAACAGTAAAATGATCTTCGTGCTTTAAATATTAAACACAATAAACTATCTAAATATGTTGTGTGAAGGTGTGTGAAAGCAGACTAAAATGAATGTCTTTATGAACAAACTGGAATCCATCACACTGCTTCTTGATTTTTCTTACCCCCTTTAGGATCAGAGAACCACACTTTTTATACCATGAGATTTGAGTATCGGTGGCAGGGTTTTGTGTGTGTTTTTCTTTAGCAATACTTTCTTCTCTTCCAACTATTTCCAAATTTTATAGATAGATAGATAGATAGATAGATAGATAGATAGATAGATAGATAGATAGTTATCACATTTTTTCAAACAATTTCTTTTAAATTAATATAAACAAGACACAGGCTAATATAAAATTTGCTTTTAAAAAAATCTAACGTGCAACATCCAAAACTAAAATAGCCTTGTATTTATCCCAGACACACACACACACACACAAAGGTATTTAGTCAGATACCAATTGTCCAAGTTCTCCCACTTAAAAAGATGAGTGAGGCCTGTAATTGACATCATAGGTAGATCTCAACTATGAGAGAGAACAGGAGAAAACACATTCAGAAAATCACATTCTCTGATTTTTAACAAATTTATTTGCAAATTATGGTGGAAAATAAGTATTTGGTCACCTACAAAAACAAGCAAGATTTCCGGGTCTCACAGACCTGTAACTTCTTCCTGCACCAGACTGGGAAGACTGAATCTGCAATAGGCAAGCAGCTTAGTGCGAAGAAATCAACTGTGAGAGCAATAATTAGAAAATGAAAGAGATACAAGACCACTATTATCTCCCTTGAGCTGGGGCTCCACGGATGGGGTCAAAATGACCCATGGGGTCAAAATGATCACAAGAACGGTGAGCAAAAATCCCAGAACCACATGGGGGAACCTAGTGAATGACCTGCAGTGAACTGGGACCAATGTAACAAAGGCTACCATCAGTAACACACTACACCACCAGGGACTCAGATCCTGCAGTTCCAGACGTGTCCCCCTGCTTAAGTCAGTACATGTCTGGGGCTGACTGAAGTTTGCTAGGGAGCTTTTCGATGATCCAGAAGAGTATTGGGAGAATGTCATATGGTCAGATGAAACCAAAGTAGAACTGTTTGGCAAAAACACAACTCATTGTGTTTGGAGGAGAAAGAATGCTGAGTTGCATCCAAAGAACACCATACCTACTGTGAAGCATAGGGATGACAACATCATGCTCTGGGGCTGTTTCTCTGCAAAGGGACCAGGGCGACTGATCCATATACATGAAAGAATGAATGGGGCCATGTATTGTGGGTTTTGAGTGCAAACCTCCTTCCATCAGCAAGGGCACTGAAGATGAAACGTGGCTCGGTCTTTCAGCATGACAATGATCCCAAGCACACCACCAGGGAACGAAGGAGTGGCTTGGTAAGAAGCATTTCAAGGTCCTGGACTGGCCTAGCCAGTCTCCAGATCTCAACCCTATAAAAAACCTTTGGAGGGAGTTGAAAGTCCATGTTGCCCAGCAACATCCCCAAAACTTCACTGCCAACACACCAGCAACAATGTGTGTCAACCTTGTGAGGACTTACAGAAAACGTTTGACCTCTGCCATTGCCAATAAAGGATATGTAACAAAGTACTGAGATGAACTTTTGTTATGGACCAAATACTTATTTTCCACCATAATTTGCAAATAAATTTGTTAAAAGTCAGACAGTGTGATTTTCTGGATGTGTTTTTTCATGTTGTCTCTCATAGTTGAGCTCTACCTATGATGTCAGTTTCAGGCCTCTCTCATCTTTTTACATGGGAGAACATGTACAATTGGTATCTGACTAAATACTTTCCCCCCACTGTGTGTGTGTGTGTGTGTGTGTATTTAAAATAATGATTTTTCACAAAAAGTTATTGCAAAATTTGGATGTAAATCATCCAACCTAAAAAACAACAACAAAAACCCCAAATACTAGGCCTGGGTAACAACGCAAAAATTTGTTTCTAAAATCGATTCGTTTTTGGGGGGTTTTTTGCGTTTCGTTATTTAAAAGAATTACAAAATTTTCCTTTTAAAAAGTTCGGTATTTACGAAATTTCGTTATTATTAATGAATTGATTCATTAAGATGGCGGACCCACCCCCCACCCCCGCGCATGCGCAAATCACTTCCGAAACTTCGTTATTGATGCGGGGTTGATTCGTTAAGGTGATAACGAATCAATTCGTTAAAATGGCGGACGCGATTTGCGCATGCACAAAAACGACTTCCGAACTTCGTTATTAAATACGAATCGGACGCGATTGCGCAATGCTAAATGCTCTATAAACAAAATCATTTCATAAAATAAATCAAAAAAATAATCAAATAGAACAAGATATTAAGATAAAGATATAAAATAAAAAGTAATAAGATAAAGTAGCCAAAAACTGAGTCAATAATGAAAAAAACAATAATATAATAATAAAATTTAAATAAATAAAATATAAATAATAAATAATAATAATTTATAAATAATAATAATAATAAATATAATAAATAATATAAAATTATATAATATATACAATATAAAATAAAATTATATAATATAATAATAATATATTATATATATTATATAAATGAAATAAATAATAATATAAATATTTAAATAAAATATAATTAAATTTACAAAATATTTATAAAATATAATTATAAATAATAATAAAAATAATATATAAAATTAAATTATAAATTATTAATATATAAAAAATAATGTTATTATAAAAACTACACAAATAATAAGCGAGCACTTTGTGTTGGCAAAAGGACCGCACTTTGTGTTGGCAAAAGGAGCGCACTGGAACTACACAAATAATGAGCGAGCACTGTCTTATAGCACTTTGTGTTGGCCAAAGGAGCGCACTGGAACTACACAAATAATGAGCGAGCACTGTATTATAACACTTTCTGTTGGCAAAAGGAGCGCAAAAAATGGAAAATTAACAAAAAGCTTGCCCTGTTGTGGAGCGAACACAGCCACAGGACAGGGACAAACGCACACACACGCGCAAAAGTTTCTTTTCTTTTTTTAGAATATTTTTTGAATTTTTTGAAGAATAAAAGAGAAATATTTATCAGAAATATTTAAAAATGGAAAATTAACAAAATGCTTGCCCTGTTGTGGAGCGAACACAGCCACAGGAC